TTTATATCTAAGCACACTTTAACACTTAGATTTATAGAGGCTGCTAGGAAAAGCAAAGTAAGTGTGACAAGGTTAATGAGACAGTACTTGTCTCATGGTGTGCCTTCAAAAATTACCTTGATAATCCTAGCTGACAAAACATCTTAAGGTAGGCCTAGGGGGACGTGAATTTTCACCTGAAATACCTGCATTCTCATGTAAAGTCCCAAGAATCAAACAGACTTAACAAGTAAAAGACGAACATACTAAGTTTCTTAGTGTTTCAGTCTCACTTTGCTTAGATTAATATTTCTAATAGGTCTTAGAAATATTCTAATTTGTGTGATGATTTACTTAAATCGATTTAGCGAAATTATAGTTGAGATTCAATTTGAAAGATGTATTCTGCAGTTGCTTATTAGACTGTTTATAGATCTCTAGAAAGATTATATATTAAACAGTCTAATTACAGAAAAAATTAATTTTGTTTTCATTTTAAGAAGGCATTATATCAGAATCCATACTTTCTTAAAGAAAAACCTTGAGTTAGCTAAAGGAATATTAGTTCATTAGCAAGGTAACTAAGAATTATGGAGGATTAGAGGTTCTGAAGGTAAGAAAGATTGGTGAATCCTTATGCATGAGTTATAATTATTCTCATAGTCATACAGCCTTCTCTACTAGACAGGTCTTATTCTTAAAAGAAGTCTTTTATACATGATACATAGTCTTAATAACAACTAGCCTCTACTTGTAAAAAAGAAAATCCATAGCTGTTAGCTCTTTACTGACTTACCCATGTTTGTTATGCTCATGCAGTGTCTACTTACTCTTTGTATATGAAAACAGCAAAACCTTCCATGTCAGATAAGCATTTTACAAAAATGAATGTTATTGTGTGAGATAACTAGGAAATATTAATAATGTTAAGAACAAAAACCAAGAAATGAGTTGATACAGATCAACTCGAGCTTTTAATTTTAGAACAAAAAAAGTACCAAATACTTATGTTGATGTGTTTTTCCTTCTGTGGTTAAACCTTCCACGAATCTGACAAATTAAGAATTGGCTCCAAAGATTACTTTTTAAAAAAAAGTTTCTTCCACTTGCCATAAGGTTTTAAAAGGTAGAATATGAGCTTTGAAAAGAAAGACCTACGACTTCAGACACTTAAAAGTGTTTCAGTTGATGTTATGGACTTCCACAGAAGTATTATAATTATAAATAGTATAATATAATAAGTAGTGTGTATAAACTGAAAACATGGTTTGCTTATGTATATCCTGAATATATTGTTTAAAGAAATTGGGTTCTTAAGACCAAAGTGTCCACAACGGGAAGATGTTAAAGATATGCTGATGAGTAAAAGAGCGATCATAATGATTTTCTGCTTGCTTATTCAATAATTTTGCTTACTGCTTCTGAAGGTTATGCTAATGAGTAAAATGAAAACTGCTAAGGAATGTAATAACCTTTACCACAGTTAAAAAAATTTGCAGTTTACTATAAATGGCTTTCAATCACGAAGGGTAGAGAGTTTTAAGTTCTTAATGGAATTGTCTATGATTATAGTTTGATATATATAATAGAAAACTGACTAAATTCAGTCAGATTTTGGGTTCAGTTCTGCTGCCTGTGTGATACTTTGTAATTTATCTTAATCCTCTTCTGTTTTCCAAGACTATTTTCTCTTTTTGAGTCTTCTCCCTATTTTCCAAGATTATTAGTATATAAGACTATTATTTTGTTTTTGACATGTAGCAACTAAAGATATGAGTACTTTTCAGAATTTAGGGGACTATGGTAATTTGAGATAATTATCTGTGTTTTCTTTCGTAGCCTGTGGACATCTCTACAGCAATGAGTGAACGAGCACTTGCTCAGAAAAGACTCAGTGAGAATGCATTTGACCTTGAAGCCATGAGCATGTTAAATAGAGCTCAGGAAAGGGTATGTAGCAGTTTTTTTTTTTTAATTATTATGTACCTCCAGCCAACTCACACCAATGTACCAGTTTTAATGTCTAAATAAGAATTTCGCTAACTAGTTAAGTTGTAACATCATTTACCTTATTTTAAATGTCTTATTTTAAATGAAAGTGATTTGAGGCTTGATCATTTATTCAATAAATGTTTATTGTTTACTATGTGGCAGGAACTGTTTCTTGAGAGAACAAAATAGAAAAATTTCCCTGTCCTCAAGGAGCTTACAATCTGGTGTATAAAAACAACTAAGTGCCTACAACCCTATGAAATGTGTAGGTAGTAATAACTGCAATATTTCAGCTGAGAAAACTGAAGTAAAGAGTAGTTAAGGCCAGGCGTGGTGGCTGACGCCTGTAATCCCAGCACTTTGGGAGGCTGAGGTGGGGACAAGGAGTCAGGAATTCGAGATCAGCCTGGCCAACATGGTGAAACCCCGTCTCTACTAAAAATACAAAAATTAGCTGGGCATGGTGGCGCACGCCTGTAATCCCAGCTACTCAGGAGGGTGAGGCAGAATTGCTTGAACCCGGGAGGCGGAGATTGCAGTGAGCCAAGATGGCGCCACTGTACTCCAGCCTGAGCAACAGAGTGAGAGACTGTCTTGAAGAAAAAAAAAAAAAAGTGATTACGTGATATCCATGGTCACACAACTAATTAGTGGGGGAACTGGGATTCAGACCCAAGCAATCTGAATCTGGAGTCTGTGCTTTTAACAATGGACAGCCTCTCCATTTCATTTCCTACTGTTTTATGGTAAATCAGTAAGTACATGTTCAGACAAGAAATACGTTGCTGATATAGCAAGGTGTTTAGTAAATCTAATTTGTGTGAATGACAGCTGATTCTTTATCACAACAAATGTTGGTGACTGAAAAAAAGTGTACAAGCTTTTTTAAAAAGTTGTTTTATGGCTGGGCACGGTGGCTCACGCCTGTTATCCCAGCACTTTGAAAGGCCGGGGTGGGTGGATCACTTGAGGTAAGGAGTTCAAGACTAGCCTGACCAACATGGAGAAACCCTGTCTCAACTAAAAATACAAAATTAGCCAGGCATGGTGGCGCACGTCTGTAATCCCAGCTACTTTGGAGGTTGGGCAGGAGAATCGCTTGAACTCGGGAGGAAGAAGTTGCAGTGAGCAGACATTGCACCATTGCACTTCAGCCTGGGCAACAAGAGTGAAACTCCATCTCAAAAAAAAGTTGTTTTATGTATTCAAGTGGACAGTTTCCTGTATTTAAACTCTTTAAACCTGTGTCATGAATTTAGTCTGTATTTATAATGTCTCAAAGGAAGTAATTAAGAATCCAGGCTGTCATGACATGTACTGTAATATATTTGTATGAGATAGGTAGGAAGGGAGGGTGGGGACCCATTGCCATATGAGCTCTTATTTGCATTTTTAGTTTATCTGTATGACAGTTTGAAGAATATTAACAGCTGTATTTTTTAGTAGCCGTGCTTTTAGATACATTTCAAAATCTTATTAATAGAATTCACTAAATGTTGTCAAACTGCTTCTTTAGAAAGTAGGCAAACATTTGATGTTAAATATGGTTTAAAAGTTAAATATTTAAGTCTGCTTTTCAGCCATTTTTAGCTAATTATTACCAGTGACATTTTAATCAGGTAATTTTATTTAGTTAACTGAGACTACTACTTTTCTTCAGATTGATGCCTGGGCTCAGCTGAACTCTATTCCTGGCCAGTTCACAGGAAGTACAGGAGTACAGGTTTTGACACAAGAACAGTTGGCCAATACTGGTGCCCAAGCCTGGATTAAAAAGGTACACAGTATATGCACATATGAAAGTGTCAAACAAAGTTTAAATTTTTTGGAAACTTTATTAAAACTGCATGAAAAGACCAGTGACTCTAACCAAAGTTCCGAGTAAATTTGCTATGTGTATATGCTCCAGGGCGGACACTGAAGACGGACTGGATTCATGAGAAAATGGCAAATGTATAAATGTGGCTCAAGAGCCACTAATTTATAAGGTTATTTTAAAAATTGCTACTGCTGCTTTTGAAGGGGTGATTTAACTATATTTTGAACGCTAACAGCGTATCAGGTGCTGTTCAGAATATTCCACAGTTCCTGCTGGACTACTAACCTAATCATTTCAAAGCAGTGGTTCTCAAATATTTCTTCATCATGGGATGCTTTATTACAGGTTTATTTTTGGTGGATCACTGCCCCCAAGAGCCCTCTACCACCTTAATTTTCCATTCCTCTATTCCTTTGTCCTTGCACCCCACCCGCTTCATTAGTGCCTGTGCCGCCTTGTAAGATCTCTTGGCCCCTGTTCCTTACTCCTCTTGTGACCTGTGGCCCAGGTCCTTTTGGTTGTCAGCTGCTGGTCACAGCAAGTGGTTGGGAGGCCCTAGTATTAGCTCTGCATGTGGTGATCTTGCCATGGGACTGGAAGGCTGAGGGAGGATGGCTGGAGTGGGGTGGGCTGTGGTGAAGGGGATGGGATGGAGATTAATCTGTGGACCACCATTTGGGCCTAGTGGCCTCTGGTGATCCACAGGCTCAATTTGAGAACCACTAATTTCATGACAAAACAGATATGTAAGACCTAAAATCAAGGGAGAGGATGGACGCCTCGTGCTACGAAGATGTAGGTGCATCTGGTTTCAGATTCTGCAGTGAGACCTGTGAACTCCACCTACGGCTGCCTCATCACTGGGGGAGTCTTAGGTGGCTAAGAAGGGCATTCTGAAGAAACACCTTCTGGTGAAGGGACAAAGATTGGTTGGATGGGTGATGGGAAATTTGTTACAGGAGTACTGGCAGCATAGCAGTGCTGAAACTGGGAGGCCGCGTGGTCTAATGGATTGGGAAGGTTTCTTTATCCTGTTGTACTCCTGACTCCTTGTGTGATCGTGGGCAAGTAACTTTGGAATTTCAAAGTCTCCGAGGTGTCTGGTGGTAATCAGTAATGTGATGGTTACCTATAGAGAGTTGCTATGAGTGCCAGTGAATGAGCTGAATTTCTGAAAAATGAGACATTGGTTGCTTTGGGTATTTTAATCTTGTAACATTTATTTCAATTTTGATAGCTTTATCTTTGTTGATCTTACTAACAAATTAATATGAAACATGTATACTCACTATGCCTGCCTTTTTTGGGAAGTAGTTGCACTGATGTGTATAGTGAGTACACAGTTAGATTCATTAAGAAATTACAATTTCTGTAGTTTGCTGAGAGTTGGTGTTAGAATAAAGGTGAAAATATATATAGAAAAATATTTTAAAGATTGGATTAATCTTGGACTTCTGTATTATAGTTAGTATGAAAGTGATTTATATACTATTTGAAAAAATGTCTTACATCTTGGGCAGAATTATAAATGTACATCTATTTCTTTAGTTTTACTTTTTTAGTACTGTTTAGTCTTGAAGCTTCAGCCAATATTTCAGGAAGTTAGAAATAAAGCTTATGGGTGTTAAAATAGGCACATAATACAGGCAATGTTCACTACTAGGTAGAAACTTCTGAATGTGCTTCCATTACAAAATTGTGGTCTTTATCTAATGATGTGCTGATCCATAATATTTGAATACTTCTAAATATGTTAATAACTTAAATAACTTTTAAAAAGTGAATCTTTTACTGACTCAATTGGTTTTCCCCTAAAACCAATTTCTTCTGGTATTTGCAGTCTTGTAGGCAGTTAACAGACTTTGAGTAAATAATTTTAAAATTTTAGTAGCACCTTTAAAAAAGACTTTGACTTCATATTTTATATAAGATATACTTTGGGAAGCAAATCATTTTGATAAACTATGCAATAAAGATATGTTCATCAGACCAAATTTTAAATTATAGTTAAAAGTAGAACTTACAGGAAAAGATTCATTTGTATAGAATTACTGAAGAATATTTGATGCTAGTATCAACTAAAAAAGAAACTTTTTAAAATTAAACATGGACCACAATATGTAGAAGTCATTAGCAGCTGAAAATTTAACATGTATCATTCTTGTTAAATATCACAAAGATTACCTATTCATTAAATGTGTAATTGTGTTTAGAAAACCTGTCAAACGATCATTTTGGCTCTTCTTTAGTATAGTCCAGCATCCACCTATGTGTTAAAAAACACATGGAATACCAACATCCTCTGTGTTCTTTTTAGTTTGTTGCAGTATATTTTTAGATTTTAAAAAAAGCAAAGTTTTATCAGTATTCTCATTAATCAGTAAAACACTTAAAATAGTTGGTTTAAAAGAACTTTTATTTCTGGAATGGAATGATTTGGATGTGACCTGATAAATAGAGTTTATTATTGTGGTCTCATTAAATTAATCAGCTTTTTCACATTGGGGTAAAGAAACAGATGACGATACTAGGGAATGGAAACAAAATTGGAAACTTGGGTTATCTGGGGATTTATATTGTACTCTGCACAGTTGCCCTTTTTTTTAGGAGTGTTCCCTGGAAAAGAGGGACGGATGAACCTGGAAGTAAGTAAAAGACATTCTAGGTGTGTAGCATCAAGGCAGTTAATATCCAAGCATCAGCTTTCTCTTTATACATCTACACTGCATGGCCTGCACCAAATAAGGAACTGAACCAGGGGTATGTTTTTACCTCCACAGCTGCCTCCTTCCATCAGAGCATCTTGATGAACTTAATGTCTAGTCACACATCATTGGCATGTTTTCTCCCTAGCATTTAATTATAAAGCTGGGAAACAAAAGATGATAGTTTTACTACTGCATACAAACATGTTTTTTTTTTTTTTTACATTCAGTATTAACTTATCAATATAGGAGATGTGAATACATACTATTTCCTGAGCTACCAAAGTTTTTTTACTCTGTTGATAAGTTAATGACTTTTGCTATATGTATATTTATATATATATTTGGTAGAGAACATAAAAACCTAAAATTTAGTAACAAGGGGAAAATAAAGCATGATCTGGAGATACATGTTTCAAATTTTTAAAAAGTGGCCATAAAGATCAACAGTAGAATTTAATACTGTTTGTTATATGTACATGGATGCCCTTTAATAAGAGGCATTGAATATTTCTTAACCTGTAAAAATAAGTGTTGATCATGCTAATGTATATACTTGTGCATCTTAGGACATTAAGTGGTTTGCTGCTTTGATGGAAATTATGGTTCAGTGGGTTGGATACAAGAGAGATGATTGTTCACAGAATAACCTGTGAACTTTCACCCCTCTGTATGGAAACTTGTTTCAGGGCCAAATCCTTGTAGCTGTCTTCTTGCCCCGGTCAGTGCCAGCCGTACTATTCACAACATTGCTGCTACCGAGGCCTAGGTATGTAAACATTTAAGGAGTTTTTTAAAAGTCTTTTAACATCAAGCTAGGTTTTAAAAGAATTCAAATTCATTTTGGCATACTTACAGGATATTTTATGTGATTGTTTTCTATTTGTTACTGTGTAAATTTCAGGAGGTTTTTTTTTTTTTTTTTGGCTGCTTTAGGGATTTTCTAAAGTAAAATATTTATACTTGCTTTATAGTAGAATGGGGAAGAAAACTTTGGATGACAACAGTATGCTTCTTCAGTGTCTAAACTATTTCTAAGTGATTTTTGGGCTTTATTCATAAACTAGGTACACCTGGGACAATTAATATCATTGATTGTTTTAACATTGCCTTCTTTTTATTTTGCAAGCTAAGAAGAGATACCAGTGAACCTAAATAGTGGACGAAAACAGGAGTGTTCTAATTTTTTTTTTTTTTGAGGGGGGCACGAGGGCTACTGTTTCAAAACTGCCATTTACTTGTCTTATTTAACTTCTAAAATACTATTACGTTAATGTGAAAATAATCAGAACATACACACTACAGTATGTATATAGAGGAATTTACATTTAATTGCTATAACAGATCTAGAAGTAAAATAAGATTCCTCTTTTTAGAAAGTAAACAGTGAATCTGTTACCACATTCTAACTGTAAAATGGGGACATTTTACCTTTCTTTCTTTGGATAGGATCAGTTCTTAAGAGCAGCCCCGGTAACTGGAGGAATGGGAGCCGTTTTGATGAGAAAAATGGGCTGGAGAGAAGGAGAAGGATTAGGAAAAAACAAAGAAGGCAATAAGGAACCCATTCTAGTTGATTTTAAGACAGACCGAAAAGGTAATAAGTTCTTTTTTGAAATGTTTATTAACACCTCCTTTAACATTACCTTTAATATATCCTTTTGAACCCAGTGATCTTGAACTGAAGGCATTTCTTGTATATATACAGCTATTTGTCAGAAAAAACATTAACCCCTTTTGGGGTTCACAGAAGCAGCTTACTTTTATGTAACTATGGATAGAGACACCAGTTTGAACTTTTAAAAGGCACCTTTTGTTATGCTAGTTGCTAAATATGGAAATGTGTATATATCTAATTATATTATTACACCTCCAAATTCAACCAGATTTCATGTTTAGAAAACAGGATTTCCATTTTATTTTCTCTTGACAAAGAACCATCCTTATTTCTAGTTTGGTTTATTTTTTGTTATTTCCTATTACAATGCTGTTTAGTCTAGATTTCATAAACCCTGTTTGCTTTTTGTTTTTTACAAGCTCAGTAGTTTAGTTGGGTTAGAGTATAGTAGACCAGCTGCTGACAATAATGTTACTTCTTCCTGTTGCCTGGTGTTAAGGCATTTTGGAACCATTAGCATTGACTGTATTTTCCTTTTACCTTCAGATACCTGGGCAGGACAGCACTGTGTCTTCCATGTAGCTTGTATGTAGTTGTTAAGTATTTAATCGTTCCCACAGATAATAGCTAATTGGCATCTTTTAAATAACTTCTTCCTTTGGAATAATGTAAGTGGAATCACGAGAGGCTTGCCAGCTCAGTATGATTTTTTATAGCTTGTTTAAACCTCATTTATAAAAGCTGGCAAATGTAAAACTGGGATTTATTTTCATCTTTGTAATCAAATAGTAAGTTGAAGCTAACTTCAACAGTTAATCTGTGTTAATGAATTTGGAAATGAACTAGCTCTGCACCAAATACTTTGGTGTAAGTATTGTACAATTTCAGGAAGCGTTCTCCTTGGAATTGTGGGACATGGCCTGACTGTAAGCTCTCGGAGAACCACAGATTTCCCAGGATAGGTTTGGAAAAGCTTGTATTAGCACGGAATTATTTAGCAAAGGTTGAAAAATTTCCTGTAACATACAAGATGAGCACCCCACATCTGGAAACCTGAAATGCTCTAAAGCAGAAAACTCTTTGAATCCTGATATGATGCTCAAAGGAAATGCTCACTGGTGCATTTTGGATTTGAGCCTCTTCAGATTTGGGATGCTCAACCAGTAAATACAATGCAAATATTTGAAAACCTGGAATCATGCGACACACTTCTGGTCCCAAGCATTTTGGATAAGGAATACTCAACCTGTATATGGAATTGGGAAAGCAGTGTTTGGGTTTAGCAATATAGCTAATCCCCTTTGTAATAAGCCTATGGAGAGGGAGGTTATGTAGAAAGGTTATGTTCATATTTTGAGAACATCTCCCATTTGTTAGGAAGGGAGAGGAGAGTTTGCTAGGAAAAAAGGGACCTATTTTATTTGGAGACAACCGCTTTTTTCACCTTTTTGGTGGCTTAAAATCCTAGCCTTTTTTGGAAGAGTCTTAACTGAGGCTTTTTTGAGAGAGTAAATCTGCAGAAATCATTTGGCAATAAACTTTTTTTTTTTTTTTTTTGAGATGGAGTTTTGCTCATTGCCCAGGCTGTCAATGGCACGATCTTGACTCACTGCAACTTCCGCCTCCTGGGTTCAAGCGATTGGCCTGCCCCAGCCTCCCGAGTAGCTGGGATTACAGGCGCCCGCCACCACGCCCGGCTAATTTTTGTTTCTTTAGTAGAGACGGGGTTTCACCATGTTGGCCAGGCTGGTCTCAAACTCCTAACCTCAGGTGATCCACCTGCCTCGGCCTCCCAAAGTGCTGGGATTACAGGCGTGAGCCACCGTGCCTCTGGCCATACTTAAATTTTTGTTTTCTGTTTACATTTGGTATTTATTACAATTTTTCATACCAAAGTCTATGAATATTAAATATAAATTTATATGCTGAAAAACAGTAAGAGAAGAAAGAGAAGATTGATAGAGAAATCAAGTGTACTAGGAATCTGTTGATTTTATCTGAAGGCATACATTTTGAGGGTCAGACTCCTACAGAGGAATCTTTGTTTTAAAATGGTGCTTTGAAAGCTATTTAGTGAACCATTTTTTTTTTTAAAAGGTCTTGTTGCAGTAGGAGAAAGAGCACAAAAGAGGTCTGGGAACTTCTCTGCTGCAATGAAAGATCTGTCAGGTGAGAGCACATTTTTGAATTTCCTCTTACCCTAATCCCACCTTGAATTCATTTTTTGTTGCAGAAGTTGGTAGAAATAATTTAAAACTGGATATTTTTTCCCCTGCTGCAGGCAAACATCCTGTGTCTGCTTTGATGGAAATCTGTAATAAGAGAAGGTGGCAACCACCTGAATTTCTGTTGGTCCATGATAGTGGCCCTGATCATCGCAAACATTTTCTCTTTAGGGTAAATATGAATTTCTGCACTAATTGTATATATTTATTAATGTGATGACTTAGAGGGTGAGGGGTAAACATGACAGGATTAAGGTTCTGTTCATGGGTGGGGGATTTGTATTTGTAGTTAAGTGGTGGGGTTTTTAAACTGAAGGGTGCTTTCATATGACTTGTCAATGTCCTATTTTTAAAAAAATTGGAAAAAAATGGGCAAAATATAGTATACAATTTGTTATTTTCTAGTTGAATGTGGGGAATTAATTTAATACTTTTATCAGTCTTTTTCTCAATTTGGAGACCTGCTTTTAATTTGCAGTCCCTTTTCCCAAATGATTTGCTGCTTCTGGGTTGAGATTATAATTTGACTTACATAGTATGGGTTTTATATTTTTGTAAATTATTTTTCTAGCATTTAGTGAAAAAATACAAAGCTAATAGATATTAAAGTTTGATGCTGTTCTTATTGTATGTTTTTCTTGAATAGGTATTGAGAAATGGAAGCCCTTACCAGCCCAATTGTATGTTTTTCTTGAATAGGTATTGATAAATGGAAGCGCTTACCAGCCCAGCTTTGCCAGCCCTAATAAGAAGCATGCTAAAGCCACAGCAGCTACTGTGGTTCTTCAAGCAATGGGCCTTGTACCAAAGGACCTCATGGCTAATGCCACTTGCTTCAGGAGTGCCTCACGTAGATAGATTGAGGTTTTATAATAATCATTTCAGATAATTTTACTCTGCATCACAATGTATTTCCTCTTTAATGTTGTAAATATTTGGCAATTTAAGACATTGTGTAAAAAGCAATCTGTAAAAACATCTCCAGGCTTTGATTTTTGTACCATGGAAATTGTATTTAACCATACAGGGTTTTGGTATGTTTATATTGTTTACCTTAGTGATGTATTTGTTTAAGTGGCTAACATCCAAACGATTGTTTGAAGGCATCAGAGTAATCTTCAGTGTGGAATGTTAAATAACGCTTTTATACTGTATTTTGTACTATGATGTAACTCCCCTTCCTTATGGCTAGGCTACTGTAACACTTGCCTGTAATCAGTGAAGGGCTGTGCACCTTGTACTATTTCACAATGGGTTCTGCTGGACAGATACTGGGCCAGTGTTATTGAGGTGATCAAGATCTGTTCCACAGGGCTATTGCCACCATCTCCCCTCAAAATTTTGTAGAGGTTCTAAAAAGAAAGTGGTATGTTGTGTGATGATCAGCACTAAGTCCTGCATTCCTGTTAAAGCCACTTGGGTCATAAGAAGGGAGTAAAAAATGAAGTCTGACTAGAATTCTACTATTGCAGAGGCCAAGTACATTTAGTATGGCATTGAGTTGTGATATAGTTTTACTTTGATGTGCATTTTGAATTTCAGCTACACCTAGATAGACGTAAAATGATAATTAAAATGCTGTAACCAACTTATCTAATAAAATTGGCAACCAGCCACTATTTTGTTGACTATGAGAAAGTTAAAGTTTATGTTAATTTTTAGGGTCCGATAGAATATTTCATGTGTATTACAGTGGTATTCATATGCTATGTCTCTAAACTTTATTTTCAAAAGCTTAAGGCCCAAATACAAACTTCTCTGGAATAAACGTGGTGTTTTATTTTCTGGATTATAAAGTGAACAAATACTTAGATACTATTATTTCTTTACCCAATGCTTTTGATTTCTAAGCACTTTTATTTTAAAAATGTGAATTATACAATCCCAACACACACAACACACACACACACACACCCCCACACCCTATAAGCACATTAAATACTACTTTGCCATGACAGCTCAGTGTGTACTTCACAATTCTTAACACTATTCTATGTGGAACACAAAATGCCTTTTTATCTGAATTAACATGCATTAGAGTTTTAGTATATGTGAAAATAAAGGAATTATAAATCAGTAGGAAAGATATTAAGGTAGAAGCATCACCAATCAGCTAGCTCAGTAGATGTTATCTATATTTATTTTCTACCTTTATGGAACAAGAACCTGCTAACAGTCTTAGGTAAATGGTAAAGGAACATATTTTTGCCCTGATGCCATTAGTCACAATGCCATGAGGTAACTGCTATGTGATTTCCCATTTGCAAGGAAACATATTAATTCAATTTCTACTCAATATACAATTAGGTTGTAGGGATACAGATAGCTCATTTGAGTTATCTGAGTTTTTCATCTTTATATCTAAAAATCTAATCTGAAAATAGTAAAAGCAGAAAACACTGATTTAAAACCTTAGATGCTACTGTAATAAAAGTTATGTTTATAACATGTCAGTATATTCCTTCAACTTCAGGAATCTTGAATTTCCTTGCTAGAAGGCTTTTTTCCTCAAAGATTCCTTTTAGGCTTACTTTGGTGTTCAGGATCTCCAATTATAAATGTAGTCTCTCAGCACCACATTCCGTAAAGCTGATTTCCCAAGTAATGGTATTTGACTAAGTTGCTCCAGAGTGTTAGGGTGCAAACCACAGTTAGTAAGCTCCTTATGAACAACCTCCTGTGGAAATGTGTATACAAGTCAGTAAAAAGCACATCAATCTTTAAACACAAAAGAGTTTCAAATAATTACTATGGAGACTGACAAATGTCTCATTCACGTGATTCATCCTATCAACAGAAGTTGATCCTAAGAATTTTTGTAGTGACAAAATCCCAAAACATTAATGGTTATTTTTATAAGTCTAGCCAACTGAGATGCATGAGATAATTTTAAAGGTCTTAATTATTCTAGCTCTAAAAACCTTAAGTATATTCAAAATTAAAGGCAAATATGGTTAAATAAATACCCACAGTGAATCATGTTTCCTTAAACTATAAAGGAATCAGGTACTATTGAGTTTTGGATCCAAGAGGAAATGAAAATAAAAGTTGTACCTTTTTGAAATGCGAAGTTCTTCAGTCACTGTTAAAACTGTATTTGGACTGAGCCCGGGCGCCATGGCTCAAGCCTGTAATCCCAACACTTTGGGAGGCTGAGGCAGGTGAATCACCTAAAGTCAGGAGTTCAAGACCAGCCTGGCCAATATGGTGAAACCCCGTCTCTAATAAAGATACAAAATATAGCCGGATATGGTGGCACATGCCTGTAATCCCAGCTACTTGGGAGGCTGAGGCAGAATTGTTTGAACCCAGGAGGCTGAGGTTGCAGCGAGCCAAGATCGCGCAGCTGCACTCCACCTGGGCAACAGCAAGATATCGTCTCAAAAAAAAAAAAGAAAATTGTACTTGGACTGAATTCATGAAAGCTACCTCACAAAAACAACTTATAGACATTATTCTTTCCTCTAGTAATTCATAATTAAGTAACAGTTTAATTACTTGAAACACAAAAGTGACTCAGCATAAATGACTCACTTCCCTCCAGCTAGTTAAACAACTAAAACAGTCTGCTCGTAGGTGTCTTTCTTACCGTATCAAGTACTTTGTCCACTGGCAGGCAGATGTTAAATACAGCAGTTGGCTCGTGTGGATGTAGTACTGCAGAGAAAGACCCACTCTGTGAAGATTTGAGCAGCATGGTCAGTGAATGCAGAGAATGAGGCATGATAGGACCTGTAATCTCCAAACTAAACTGGTCTCTGTATCCAGAAAGAGCTTGTGTCTTCACATTTACACTTCGTGCCTTTATGAAAATTTAAAGAAAAGGAAAATTATGATCATCTCTCAACCTTTTGTCTAGCCAAAAATATGTTCAATATATTTCTATTTGGGGTTTCCTCTCTTTAACAATTACGGAACAAAACTATTTCCCAAGACATCAAAACAATGTTACGTGAGTACAAATACTTAGTAAATTTTCAGCATCCTCTCCATATTATGAGATTTTCAGGTGATGTATATTCCAGAGAATACCACTTTTTCATATGGTATTTTGTCTGATTTAATAACACATTGTCAATGCAGACTATTGGAAAAACAAAAATTTAAAGTCCATTCAATTTTATTACTAAGTAATAAAATTGTATGTATTTTGTATTTACATATATAATTTATTATGATTATAATCCCAGCACTTTGGGAGGCCAAGGTGGGAAGATCACTTGAGGTCAGGAGTTCAAGACCAGCCTGGCCAACATGGTGAAACCTTGTCTCTATTAAAAATACAAAAAAATTAGCCAGGCATGGATGGTGGTGTGAGCCTATAGTCCCAGCTACTTGGGAAGCTGAGGCAGAAGAATCGCTTGAGCCCGGTAGGCAGAATTTGCAGTGAGCCAAGATCAAGCAACTGCCCTCCAGCCTGGGTGACAGCAAGACTGTCTCTAAATGAATGAGTGAATGAATGAATGAATGAATGCAGGGCGACCAGGTGCAGCAGCTCATGCCTGTAATCCCAGTACTTTGGGAGGCCAAGGGAAGATCATGAGGTCAGGAGTTCAAGACCAGCCTGACCAATATGGTGAAAACCTGTCTCTACTAAAAATGCAAAAAAAAAAAAAAAAAATTAGCCAGGCGTGGTGGTGCACACCTGTAATCACAGCTACTCAGGAGGCTGAGGCAGGAGAATCGCTTGAACCTAGGAGTCGGAGGTTGCAGTAAGCTGAGATCGCACCACTGCACTCCAGCAGGTGACAGAGTGAGACACTCTCTTAAAACAAACAAACAAGAAAAAACAAAACAAAACAAATAGCTAGGGTTGGTAGTGTGTGCTTGTAATCCCAGCCACTCAAGAGGCTGAGGCACAGCACAAGAATCACTTGAACCCGGGAGGCAGGGGTTGTACTGAGTTGAGATCATGCCACTGCACTCCATCCAGCCTGAGCAGCAGCGCAAGACTCCGTCTCAAAAAGAAAATAAAAAGGATTTCATATAATTTACATATTTCCACATAATTTCTTTGATGTAACTGTCTTATAAAATTTTTTTTTTAATGGGAGGAAAGCAAAAGGAAAATATGTACCAAGTAAAAATGCTACGAGTTTTTTTTTTTGTTTTTTTAAATCAAGAATTTATCCTATCAAACAAAGTAAAGTACTTTGTATTAACAGCTAGATTATGGAGACTTTTATTACCTTAAGTATTTGCATTGTGGCACCTCGGAAAGCAACAGGGGACAAGAGGGTTGGAGGAAGTCCTGCCTGTGGACCTGAGGTAGCAACTAAACTCTTACAGTTAATCAAAAAATTGAGCAATGTAAAGGTGTTGATTCCTTTTACCAACACAACAGACTCAGGTCTGTGATCCATCTGTACTTCATGTTTCTCTTTACGACTGAAGATGACAATCAAGGAAATTGCAAAAGCAAATCTCACCTAATGTGTAAAGCAGTTATCTTGATTCTGAATCACCTAAGACTCCTTTTCTCCACAAAGAAATGGAAATCCTCTTGCTACCTCTCTTTACCGAATCATAAGGCATATGTTTCAATCAAAATGTTAACAATCTGAATTTGCTACAAACTGACACCTGAACCTAATTTCTTCTCTAGTCAAAACACACCTATTCTCCCACAAAGAATCACAATTGAACGTTTTGATTAAAAAAGGTTTAACAGTTCACCATTTATTACTTAGGGGCTTATTTAATATTACAATGGACAATTAGTTTTAATATGATCTGAAGATAATTCAAGATTATCGTCATATAAAACTGCCAATGTTAAACTTCTCACTAACGTCATTCAATGAAAATTAATTCTAATTAACAGCAACTGAAAGGATACAGCTTGATAGAAAGTATGTCTGGCTTTTTAATTTTATCTTGCACACCCATCTCTTCCAGCCAGGAAAAACTTTCCTCTTCGTCCTCATCACTGATGGCTTGCTCCCTAGGAAATTGCTACAGTTAGAGTCCCTATTTCTCAAAGCTGCTCTTGTACAAATCTATTTCATGAGTCCGTAAGTCAGTGGATGACATAAAAAGTTATTTTAATCACATACTCCCCATATCCCAAGCTTGTTCCAGATGCTGTCTCCTTCTTATAGCCACTTTCTTTTATTAAAGGCAGAGAAAATTCAATACCTTCATTTCTCATAGCTTTCTTTTATTAAAGGCAGAGAAAATTCAATACCTACATGAGGAAAAAAAATGTAACTGAGTTTTCACGTAAAGTATTTAACAGGCAAGCTGCACTTTTAGAGTAAAAAATTTGAAATGTTGGTTTTTATAAATGATCTATTAAGGCAGTAGAGTTTTCAAGCTTTCTTCACAAACCTACATACATGCATAAAACATATCTCCTTGAAAGAGGTTCCGGAGACAACACATACATGTGACACTCTTTTGTCAGTTACACTGTATCCCAGTTCACTTTTTGAAAAAGCACTGATTGGGCCCATTAGACAGATTTTATGACCCACTAATGGGTTTCCTCAGTTTGAAAATTATGTTATTAAAAGGGTAACTGGTACTACATAAGAATTTGTAGAAGAGTATATTCAGATGGTGACTATCTGGCCCAATATGTGTTTTATTTTAGAGATCAGAGAAGGGAACACTATGTGGAAGGAACAGTTTAAATCAGGGGTCCCTAACCCGTGGGCTGTGGACTGGTACCGTATGGCCTGTTAGAAACCGGGCCGCACAGCAGGAGGTGAGCGACTGGTGAGTGAACATTACTGCCTGAGCTCCACCTCCCTGTCACATCAGTGGTCGCATTAGATTCTCATAGGGGCACGAATCCTATTGTGAACTGCACATGTGAGGCATCTAGGTTGTGCCCTCCTTATAAGAATGATGATCTGATGTGTAACAGCTTCATCCCGAAACCATCCTCCCCACCGTCCTTGAAACTGATCCCTAGTGCCAAAAAGTTTGGGGACTGCTGGATTAAATAATTGTGGGGGAGGAAAAAAAACCCTAGAAATAAAGAAATAATATATTTCTTAATGTTGCTAATTAACTGGTAAAAGGCATTTTAAATTCAAATACTTTTAGGCTAAAACAAGTTTACTATATAGTATAGTATTCTCACTTTAAACCTAAACTTTTACCTTCATTTCTCATAGCTTCTCTTAAACCTCGAGTTGTAGGAGATATGAGAGCTGTGATTAAGTCACTTCCAGCTAATCCTGCTGCTCGGAACAGGACAGTAAACTGATAGGTACAAACGTAGAAATAGGGGCAAAGTTTTGTCTTCAGCAAATTATATAGAGAAGTAAAGCTCACGGACCTATGAAGTAAAAACATTTTCTTTAGGTATTATTAAACATTTAATGCAATGTTTATAATTCTGTATAATTCAGTTTGATACCTGGTTTAAAACACAGCACAAATATTTTAGATAATGGTTTGAATTTTTGTGGTTATGTATGACTTAGCTTTAAAGGACTGAAACTGGTTATGAGGACTCGCTGATGACTTCTCAATACTTTAACAGTGTATACCACTTAAACACTTACTTTGTCTTTAAACAAAACTTAATTGAGAATTGCTTGCTGACTTTCTCTGAGCTGCTGATAAAAAAGAAGTAGAGACTGACAAGAAGTAGCATTAAAGAATTAGGGGTGTGTGTGTATTTTTTTTTTTTTTTTTTTTTTTGCGACAGAGTTTCGCTCTGTCACCCAGGCTGGCAGTGGGGCGATCTGGAGTGCAGTGGCGTGATCTCAGCTCACTGCAAGCTCCGCTTCCCGGGTTCATGCCATTCTCCTGCCTCAGCCTCCTGAGTAGCTGGGACTACAGGCGCCTGCCACCATGCCCGGCTAATTTTTTTTGTATTTTTAGTAGAGACGGGGTTTCACCATGTTAGCCAGGATGGTCTCAATCTCCTGACCTCATGACCTGCCCGCCTCGGCCTCCTCAAGTGTTGGGATTACAGGCGTGAGCCACCGCGCCCGGCCTGTCGGTCTGTATATATTTAACCAACACTTACATATATTCTACCACAATTGGGTAAAGAATGAATAACAGCTAAAAAACAACAAAAAAAAAGTAAACAGTTTACGTGTTGATTATTAACAGGTTCAGATAAAATTCACAAGGATCTAGATACCCTTCTGCCATTAACGTATCCAGTCACAAATATGATAGAGAATACTGCTAAAATAAAAATTCACTATTGAATTACACAAATTTTTCTTACTAATCTTACCAGTCACTCATTAAAACATGCTGCAGGGTTGCATCATTTGACCAAGGACTTGTCTTTCCAGCCATTTTTCTATCAGCTCCAATACGAGGGAACAGTGGTAGCCAAGACAAGGCAGGGTGGAGCCAATAGATAAGGTTCTGCTGGAAGGCACAACGGAGCTCAGTGGAGAGTTTGGGATCCTAAATCCAAAGGGGACAGTGGAGAGTTTTTGCCCATTGAGAAATACAGAATTTTTTTGAAGATAATATATACCAAACACTTAGGTCTAAGAATCTTTACTGCTTTCTATAGGAAAGCATTAGTAACTGTTATAGGAATGAAAGCACAATTTATCCTTATTTGGGCCAGATGTAATGTTAAACCACAGTATCAGAACATTTAAACATAGATGGGAACATCTGCCTGTTTCTACCATTCTTAAGGACAATTCACTACCTTTTTTATCATGAGGAATAGGGGTGGACATGTGCATATAGGTAACACTATGTCCAGCCCTCTCTCCAAAATGCTGTTTTAAAAGTAGCCAGTAAACACTGATATGGCAAATCACAAATCATCCTAATCTATTTTTTGAAACGATGTATAATATACCAAGATCTCTTTCAGGGTAATCCTTTTTTAACCTAGTTTGAGACTTCAAAAAAAATTTTTTAAGATACAGTCTCACTCTGTCACTGAGGCTAGAGTACAGTGGCGCAATCACAGCTCACTGCAGCCCTGACCTCCTGGGCTTAAACAATCCTCCCATCTCAGCCTCCCAAGTCGCTGGGACTATAGGCACCCACCACCATGCTCAGCTATTTTTTTTTTTTGTAGAGACGGGGTCTCACTACATTGCTCAGGCTGGTCTCAAGCAATCCTCCCACCTCAGCCTCCCAAAGTGCTGAGATTACAGGCATGGGCTATTGTGCCCAGCCTCCCAGTTTTGAGTTGACGCTTTAAAACAATCAAAATGCATTTCGCTAAAACTATTCTAGAACTCACAAACTCCCCAAAATTTATAAAATTTTCCTTATACAGGTAAGAAAATCAGTAAATCCATCAGCCCTTGCAATCCCACTCAATTGCTTTTCACTTCTTTCTTTGTATTTTCTTTCTCAAAAAGCCTTAGAGAAAAATAATTTAACAATTCTTGCCTGCAACACTGATTAATTTGCAGTACAAGTCTCTAAATTTATGAGCAATTACTCAATCTGACTTAAAAAAAAAAAAAGGTATGAAAGCACCATAAGCACCATTTGGGAAAGACAAAATTTCCTAAGTCTTTGTATCTTTAAATTTCCAAAGAAAAACTTAATGGAAGGTAGTATCTCTGCTATTTTGCAAAGGAGATCATTTCACACTTAATTTGTTACTTTAACACATAACTATTTTATTTCAGAGTTACCTGTATACTTTTAGGCAAAGTAACTTCTGTTGCCCTACAATGCTGGACAAGACCTTGAGCTTCTTCCTGTGCTTTCAAATGATCTGCCCAGGTAAAGGGTTGAGAAGAGGTGAAAAGGAGTTGGGTTTTAATACTCCAGTCCACAGGTAACTCAGTATTTTCTGAGGATGGAATATCAGACTCGGAGAACGATACATGTGAAGTCTTTAGAAAACAAAGAATGCAAAAAATTAGTCGAATATTAAGAAAAAAACCTTCAACCTAAAGATTTTATCAGCTAACATACTCATGATCACTGAAAAGTAAAAATCATATAAACTGTATAATAAATAACACGAAAAATATATTACACACTAAAAAAAGTCTGAAAGGAGTCACACTAAACTTTTAACCGTGGTTATCTGTGGGAAGAGGGAATTTGTTGTTGTTGGGGGTAGGGGTTGTGGACGGGCAGATTTCACTTTTTAGTTTTTACAGTTCTTCATGGTAGTATAGATGTCTGTATTGAAGTAGAAATATTCCAAGTGTTTAAACATTTTGGATCTTTTAAGCCTCTGAAACTCTGCATCCAGGGCTAACAAAGCCCATATTTAAGAAACATTTTCTGACTTCATATATTTCCCCTCAATCTGTCTGCTATCCTTTCATGTCAACATTCTCCACGATACAAGAATTTTTTTTTTTTTTTAAATTGAGACAGAGTCTCCCTCTGTCGCCTAGGCTGGAGTGAAGTGGTGTGATCTCGGCTCAGTGCCAACCTCTACCGCCTGGGTTCAACCGACTATCATCCCTCGGCCTCCCCAGTAGCTGGGACTACAGGCATGCGCCACCACGCCTGGCTAGTTTTTTTGTATTTTCAGTCGAGGCGGGGTTTCGCCATGTTGGCCAGGCTGTTCTCAAACTCCTGACCTCAGGTGATCCGCCTGCCTCAGCCTCTCAAAGAGTTGGGATTACAGGCATGAACCACCATGCCCGGCCAAGGATTCTTTTACATCACAATAAAATATCAGAGAAGGGGGAACTATCTTTGATAGACCATAAGAAGGTCACTTATTTACAAGAGAAACTGGGTCTTGGAGAACTCTTCTAGCCTGTTCCCATTAGGACAAACCGCATTTATCAAACTACACAGCACAACAGTAGCGGTTGGGGAATGGAAACGTGTGTATGTTAGCGCAGGGGAGCAACGAGGTTCAGTGCTATGCAACAACCTGTGGAGGTGGGCCAGGAGGGCTGGCTCTGAGTGATGAGCTGGAGAAGTCAACTGCCCAAAGAAGAGTATTAAAAACTGGTAGAGGGTAAAAGACAACCCCCATGTCTATTAGGCCTATTTTAGCACTGGCTATCTTTACAGTCATCATTACTGTATCAAACCAACTCCTTTACCTTGGCTGATGTCGTATTTTCACCCCTGGTATTTTCACCCCTGATCAAGCCTCTCTGTAAAACTACTTTCCAAGCCAAATGCTTCTGAGAAGTATAAATGTAGTTTTAAAAATTGGCTCAAATCCTAGCTAGGAAAAAAAAGTTTATACAAATACACATTCTAATGATATTTAAAAAGTATTACCTGGGGTAATTCAGTAACAGTTGTTCTTTCAGGGAACTTCTCTTGCCATAGCAAATCATTTTCTTGATTAGAATCTAAAAACTGAGGTTAAAAATATTGTCCTTTAAATTTTAAAGGATGCTGAAGTTTGCATTAAGTATGTACAGAGCCTCACCTGGCATACACGCTTCTCAATAAATCCAAGTGCACCCAAATTCAGACACACCCCATCCAATCTATGAGTTTCAACACTTCAGTTTTGTGCCTGAACTTCAGTATCAAAATTGAGGGGAACAAGGACCGGTGTTTCCAACAGAAAGATCCAAAAGGCTTTGGATAGGACAAATGCTAGGGAATTCTGACCCCACGAATCCTCAACATTCCCCCATCCCCACAATAATTTGGAGTGCGTGAGAGAAGGGAGGCCCTGAATCACGGGGGAAGCAGGGTTTGTCACCTGCCCCATCGAACAGCGTCCTTGCAAGATGGGGGTCTCAGGGTTTTTCGAGCTCTCTTCTAAGTCACCTTTAAGTCCTCCAAGGGGCCCCTCACTTTCCTCGGGAACGCGTCCCGTGAGTACAGCCCGCAGCGGGACAGCCGGAGGCGCGCTCTTCCCGCAAATCCGGCCTTGCCAGAGCCGCGGCTCCCAGCGCGGGGCACCCTAAAGCCACAGGCGGCCGAAGTCTTCGCGCCCATTTCCTTGCCTCCAACGCGAGGACTTTCCACCCCCGATTCACAGCTGGCTCAACCCATGACAGAGCCCCTTGGCGGCCAGGCTACAAGACACTCACCGGGCCCGGCGCCTCCGGCTGCTCGCGGGCCGGCCCGTCGGGGAGCTCCGCGGCGACCCGCGGTCGGTTGTCCAGGCGGGCGAAAGGGTTCCTCCGGGCAGCGGCCGGGCCGCCGCCACCGCCTCTGCCCCCCGCGGCAGGGAAAGGGCGAAGGTGCAACCCCGCCGCCAGGGCGGCTCGGCGGGCCGCCGGCTCCGGCAGCTCACCGGGCGGGGAGGCGGCAGCTCCACGGCTCCGGGCCCTTTTCCGTCGGAGCCGCACTACCTCGGGCGGCTTTCGGAAGCTGGGTGAGTAGCAGGGAACCGATAGGGCCATGACGCGAGGCGGCTGAGGACGGCTGGCCGCCCCGCAGAGCCTTCCCGCGCTCACCGGGCCCGCCCCCGACGTGGCGCAGCGCCTCGCTCCAGTCCCCGACGCGGCCCCGCCCCGCCCAGCCCCGCCCCGCCCCCGCCGGTTCCTAGCGGAGCATGCGCAGCGGGCAGCCCGCGAGACCCAGCCCACGGCCGCGATCCCCGGAGGCCGTCAACGCCCACTGTCCTAGCGGTGACCCTGCCCTGGCGCTTCTGCCGGGTCCTCGACAGGAGTCCAATCGCCAGGTTCAGCGACGCTTCTGGAAAGCGTGCGATCCAGGGCGCTGATGTGCACTACCCTGTGGGGCACCGAAATAGCTGAACGCTATTTAAGCCCGCAGCAGGGATGTGATCAGCCCAGGGTTTGGCGCCTGGATGAAAAGGAAACAAACTTGAGCTGCGGCCATGGGCTGCTGCTTCCACAAACTTGAGAGAGGGCAGTGGCTGCTGCTCTCAATAGGCAAGGAGAGGGGACTAGGCCACCTTCCTCAACCCCCAAATAGAGAACTCAGATAAGACGTCAGCACGCTTCCTATGACAGCGCAGCCTGCCGACAACCTCCCTTCCCCGTTCCCAGTGCCTGGTCATCTCAGCCTTCCAGGCAGCGGCCACTGGCAAGTTAATGAGATCCTCTTCTTTGATCCTGGGGAAAGCCGGAGTGAATGAATAGTTGAAAACACAAAATTTAAGTGCCTATGGGCTAGGTCCTTTAAGACTTCAAAATATACTCAAATGCTTAAATGATGACAGCAAAGACTTAAGGAAGGTGTTGAGAACGGAGTTGACAGAAAATTAATACGTTACTTTGATAGCTTAGCAAAGGCCTGCAACAGCTTTATCAATAGAGTAGTGTGGCTTTTGCTGAAAGCAGTTTTCTTCATGGAAGGAATTTTATAGCAGGGGCAAAATATATAGAAACAATGAAAAGACCTTTAGAAAATTCCCTTAAGATGTTAATTATAGAATTATCTTGATCATTTGCACAAGAATTTTTCAAACACTTTTCAAATGTGTCAACTGAGCATCTTGTCTTAGCAGGGAAACGTGCTTAAAAATGCAACTTGCTTTTCTCTTCCTTGGTTTTTCTCAACAATTTCCAAATAAAATTTTGGCTTCAAATACTGGAATACGTTCATCCGATTGAAGTCTGAGAAAGAAGAAAATTAAAATTGAACAACTTGCTTTTTTCTTCCTTGATGTTTCTGAACAGCTTCCATGGAAACTTTTGCCTCATACAGTGGAATGGGTTCATCCAACTGAGGTCTGAGAAGGAATGAAATTAGAAATGTCAGGTCAAGTTAAAGTAGAACAAATGGGGTGGTATATGACAAATGCTAGTGCTCAAATCTATTACTTTATTAATTTTTTGAGACAGACTCTGGCTCTGTTGCCCAGGCTGGAGTGCAGTGGCACGATCTCAGCTCACTGCAACCTCTGCCTCCCAGGTTCAAGCGATTCTCATACTTCAGCCTCCTTAGTAGCTGGGATTACAGGTATGCACCATCAACCCTGGCTAATTTTTGTATTTTTAGTAGAGATGGGTTTCACCATGTTGGCCAGGCTGGTCTTGAACTCCTGGCCTCAAGTGATCCGCCTACCTCAGCCTCCCAAAGTGCTGGGATTACAGGCATGAGCCACTGCACCCAGCCTCAAATCTATTACTTTAAGTAATTCAAACAAATTTGTCCATTAGTGTTTCCAATGTTAAAAGTGGTTAAGTTTTGAAGGAAAAAAAATTATCTTCTTTATTTACTACCTCTTTTTTTTTTGAGATGGAGTTTCTCTCGTTGCCCAGGCTGGAGTGCAAAGGTGAGATCTTGGCTCACTGCAACCTCCACCTCCCAGGTTCAAGCAATTCTCCTGTCCCAGCCTCCCCAGTAGCTGGAATTATGGGTGCTTGCCACCAGGCTCAGCTAATTTTTGTATTTTTAGTAGAGACAGGGTTTTGCCATGTTGGCCAGGCTGGTCTCGAACTCCTGACCTCAGGTGATCCACCCGCTTCAGCCTCCCAAAGTGCTGAGATTATAGGGGTGAGCCACTGCGCCCGGCCTACTCCCTCTTTTATAAGTGATAAACATTCAACTTTAAACAAATATACCATGGTTTTCTCTCCTTCAAGCTATTGGTTATTTCAAGTTGCTTTGGGAGGGGTGATGAGGAAAAGCAAAGGGTGAGGTACACTATATAATGGAGTGAGGAAAACTCACAAGCCACTTCTATTTCTGGGAGTACCTACTGGTGTGCCACCAGATATATTTTGATAAATATTAAAGAGCAGCTATTTATCTAAATGAAATATAAGGTCAGTGCAAAAGTAATTACAGTTTCTGCCACTACTTTCAATGGCAAAAACCACAATTATGTTTGCACCAACCTAATAATAAAATATGGAGGCAACAGGCACATGGCGAGAGCTAAAACAAAAGTGGGACTGCCTGCCTTAGCTCCTTGAAAATAGAAAAACAACAATGATTTGGTTACTTTAGCGTACCTGAAAACACCAGTTGATAACTTCTCCATCACATCCTTTAAGATACGTAGCTGGAAGGATTGTTAAGGTGGCAATGTAAAGGAGAATTAAATAAAACCATTCAATAAACAGAGGATGCCAGGCAGATCACTTTCTCTTGTTTCAAGTTTTGTACTCTCAGAGATTCAACATGTTAAGTTAGAGAAATTCTGGAGGACGTCAAGTTTAGCTCTACAGCAGGGAAGTGATTTGAGAGTTGGTGGTGTAACAGAGCCTAAATTTCCAAGAACAAGTGACAAGAGCAGCAACTCAAGCCTGGTGCTTATCCTAAGTGCTCACCACTATTATCTCAATGGATGGGAATGAAATAGTGTCTAGTTTTCATTTCTATATTACATATGGCATTTTAAGTTAAAAACAATTTTAGCACTTACATATCTTACTTTAGATGTACATTTGTTGACCAGGCTGTTTGGTAATAGGCTCAAAATTTGTTTGCAGAAGCCAGTAAACTTTGTGTGTGTGTGATATACAGTCATTCCTCAGCATCCATGAAGGATTGGTTCTAGGACCCCCATGAAGACCAAAATCTCCAGATACTCAAGTCCTTTACAGAAAATAGCGCAGCAGGTTGGAAAAGAAGGCTGTCTATAAAAAATTAAAAAATTAGCCAGGCATGGTGGCATGTGCCTGTTGCCCCAGCTACTGGGGAGGCTGAGGCAGGAGGATCCCTTCAGCACATGGGTTTGAGGTTACAGTGAGCTGGAATGAGCACTGCACTCCAGCCAGGGCAACAAGCAAGACCCTGTCTCAAAAAAAAAAAAAAAAAAAGGCATATTTGCGTATAACCGAGGCACAGCTGCATTATACATTAAGTCATCTCTATGTTACTTATAATACCTAATGCAATGTAAATACTATGTAGGTAGTGGTTATACTTTTTTTTTTAAATTGTTGTATTATTACTTTTTCAGAGTTTTTGTTTTTTTTTTTTTGAAACAGGGTCTCCCTCTGTGGCCCAGGCTAGAGGGCATGATCATGCTCACTGCAGCATTAACCTCTCAGGCTCTAATGATCCTCAGCCTCCCAAGTAGCTAGGACCACAGCGATTCACTGCCACACCAGGTTAATTTATTATTATTATTTTTTTGTATAGACAGGGTCTCCCTATGTTGCCTGGACTGGTCTCGAACTCCTGAGATGAAGCCGTCCTCCTGCCTCAGCCTCCCAAAGTGTTGGGATTACAGGCGTGAGCCACTGCCCCCGGTCTCCAAATATTTTTGATCTTTGATTCGTTGAATCCCTGGATGTGGAACCCTCAGATACAGGGGGCTGTATGTCACTAAGAGAATCAGAAAATGATGTAAAAATCAAAGAAAAATCTCTCTTGCTAATTTAATTGAAATTATAATATTAAGATCAAAATGCTATGTAACTGCCAGTACTTCTGAATTATTTATGGCCTAGAATGACACAGTTGGAAGGAGATGTCTCTGTTAAATCACAAGCAGCAACTTAGCTTGTATGAACTGAATGAGGAGGGTTTACACAAGTGAGGACTACAGTATGATTCAGGACTTTAGAAAATGCAAATTAGGGCTGGGCGCAGTGGCTCACGCCTGTAATCCCAGCACTTTGGAAAGCTGAAGCAGGTGGATCACCTGAGGTCAAGAGTTCGAGACCAGCCTGACCAATATGATGAACTCCTACCTCTACTAAAAATACAAAAATTAGCCGGGCATGGTGGCATGCGCCTACAGTCTCAGCTACTTGGGAGGCTGAGACAGGAGAATTGCTTGAACGTGGGAGACAGAGGTTGCAGTGAGCCAAGATGGCGCCACTTCACTCCAGCCTTGGTGACAGAGCGAGACTCCGTCTCAAAAAACAAAGAAAAAGAAAATGCAAATTAGAAAATATAAGTCATTTAAAAATATTTTTAAAAGAAAACTGAAGAATATAAATTTACTAATTCACATCCCTGCAAGTTCCCTTCCTATTGCTGTTAACAAAATTCTCACCTGTGTGCATAGCATATATTTCTGATTCTGGAAAATGTACAGTATTTCATATACACATGTCATGTTTCAACATGGTCCAAGGATTTGTCAAATAGGTTAAAATTGCCTTCTTATCGGGAGAGGTGGTTTGAGAGAATTAAGTTATATACAGCAAAGCAGTCAGTCTAGTTTCCAACATGTAAGATTCAAAACTAATAGCTACATAGTATTCCAATATTAACTAATGTTACTTTTAATAGCCACGTGGTATTCTCCATTGTAGCATCACTCCATGTTATTCTTAATAATTACAATGTTATTCCTAATAATTACAATGTTATTGGATTGGACATATACTTTTTTTTTTTTTTTTTTTGAGATGGAGTCTCGCACCGTCTCCAGGCTAGAGTGCAGTGGCACGATCTCAGCTCACTGCAACCTCCGCCGCCCAGGTTCAAGCAATTCCCCTGCCTCAGCCTCCAGAGTAGCTGGGACTACAGGCGTGTGCCACCACGCCCAACTAATTTTTTTTTTTGGTATTTTTAGTAGAGATGGGGGTTTCATCATGTTAGCCAGGATGTTCTCGATTTCCTGACTTCGTGATCTGCCCACCTCATCCTCCCAAAGTGCTGGGATTACAGGCATGAGCTACTGCACCAGCCCGTGTACCTTTTTAAAAAATGACATTAATTAAAAATCCTTTTAGAAAGTTAAATCTAATTTTAAAATTTAATAGGAAATATTTAATCAGAAACAACTTTAAATTCATACATGCACTACAAGAAGGGGTTTTGAAATCTACTCCTTAAAACTCAATACATGCAGTATACTAATTACGTAACTTTTTTTTTGAGAGGAGTCTCGCTCTGTCACCAGGCTGGAGTGCAGCAGCACGATCTCAGCTCACTGAAACCTCTGCCTCCCAGGCTCAAGCGATTCTCCTGCCTCAGCCTCATGAGTAGCTGGGACTACAGGCGCGTGCCACCACGTCCGGCCTACATAACTATTTTAAAGCTCTGAATAAATTCTGTCATTGCTCCCGGAGGGAACTGGCCTTTATATGTATCACACATATATGACTAGGCACATTTAAGAAATGTAAAGTATGATATTCACTAGAGACAAGTGTAAGGCTATATAAATCTTCAGAAACACATGTATGCTCTATCAAGTAATGATAACTTATTTTTTTTTATCCAATACATTAAAACTTTTAGCAAGTGCTGCTGCCTCTAAGCCAGACATTTTAGAAATAAAAGGAATTCTTAAGTTGACCCTACTCTAAAGAGGTTTGGACCTTTCTTTTTGAAATTGTTTGTATATTCCAAACGTTTTTTTTTTTTTGAGGCGGACTCTTGCTGTCTCCCAGGCTGGAGTGCAGTGGCTCGATCTCGGCTCACTGCAAGCCCTGCCTCCCGGGTTCACACCATTCTCCTGCCTCAGCCTCCCAAGTAGCTGGAACTACAGGCACCCACCACCATGCCCGGCTAATTTTTTGTATTTTTAGTAGAGACGGGGTTTCACCGTGTTAGCCAGGATGGTCTCGATCTCCTGACCTCGTGATCCGCCTACCTCGGCCTCCCAAAGTGCTGGGATTACAGGCGTGAGCCACTGCGCCCGGCATATTCCAAACTTTTTATTATTTTTACTCAACTGGAATGATTTGGCTTCAATCACACCAGACTTATCTCTGAATGACTTGTTTCAAAACTTAAACCCATCTTCATTTGATAAAGATTTACTAGCATTGATATTCATAAAACACTCCACAAACTCTTTAATTTAGAAAAGTATTCTGAAATATTTCTGTGCAATGGCACCATCATAGGAGTAAGTGTGCAACCTTTCAAGGTGATGTGTAATTTCCTTAACGTCAGGTTAAAAACAAAATTTTCCACGTATCTTATGGCTTATCTCCATTCAGAAAGGAGAGAGACTGCCTGAGTGTGATTCTTGTTCCGCCACTTGCTGCATCCTTGAGTCTGTATCAACATCTCTACGCTTTGGCTTCTTCACCTGTGAAATGGGGATGGTAACAGGACTTACATCTCAAAAGGCTGCTTTAATGTTTAAATTAATACTTGCAAGGCACTTGGAACACTGTTTGGCATACTTAAGGAAACTTAACTGCTATTATTATTTCCTATTATCGTAATGAAAGAACTTAGTACAGTACAAGGTTTCAAGTCAGAAACTCAAATCAGTCGATAAAAAGGATATAAAGATATTTTCCCTGTTGTACATTTGACAAATTCCAAACTTCATCATTCAGGAAAGCTAACGTTGCTCCCTTGAGGAAAAGGCAATGGCTATCTGGAGGATCCAGCTTGGATAGAATAAAACAAAGACTAATCAATTATTGTGAGTTTAACAGCAGGATGATTGGTAACTTGAGTCAGAAAAACTTCTACACAAATTAAATGATGTCCAAATCACAAAAATACGCACATAAATAACATTTAATAACATGTAAATGATAATATTTTCTATTTCATGGTCCAGAGCGATGAAACAGCAAGGTGATAAGTACATGGCAGATGCAAGGCCGATCTAGAATCCTGGTGATGAAATGGGAGGGGTGTGTGTGTATCTTTTCTCGCCATCTTCATGAGGGTGTTGGAAAATCAGTGAAGATTGGTATGTGAGAATTATGGTATTTGCATATCAGCCATCATGTAAATATGTAACTAGAATGCTGAAAAAGATAACCTTGAGAGATAACATACATAAACATGTCTAGTAATTCCAGTTTGAATAATTAGGAAATTGTGATAATTTTATACGGAAATATTTTGCTAAGTATATGTCAACGATGTTCAGATAGCAAAAATGCTATCTGAAATACTATTAAAAATTCATGCCGGGCGTGGTGTCTCACGCCTGTAATCCCAGCACTTTGGTAGGCCGAGGCAGGTGGATCACCTGAGGTCAGAAGTTCAAGACCAGCCTGGTCAACATGGTGAAACCCCGTCTCTACTAAATACACAAAAATTAGCCTTGCGTGGTGGCAGGCGCCTGTAATCCTAGCTACTTAGGAAGCTGAGGCAGGAGAATTGCTTGAACCCGGAAGGCAGAGTTTACAGTGAGCTGAGATCGTGCCATTGTGCTCCAGCCTGGACAACAAGAGTGAAACTTCGTTCCAAAAAAAAAATCATAAGTCACATGTCTAAATCACTAAATAAAATTATACTTCATTGCTGAAAATATGTCTCTGGTAGGCAGTATTTCAACAATTTGGCCAACATGTTGCTAAAGTAAAAAAAAGCTACATTTCTACATATAAAATATGTAGCTACATATAAAATATGGAATGAAAAATAAAAGTAAATTTCTTTATGATTCAGATTTTCTTTTTTTGAGACAGAGTCTTGCTCTGTGACCCAGGCTGGTGTAGAGTGGTGCAATCTCAGCTCACTGCAACCTCCGCCTCCCAGGTTCAAGTAATTCTCGTGCCTCAGCCCTCAGCCTCCCAAGGAGCTGGGAATATAAGCCTGCACCACCATGCCTGGCTAATTTTTGTATTTTTTCTAGAGACAGGGTTTCACCATGTTGGCCAGGCTGCTCTTGAACTCCTGGCCTCAAGTGATCTACCCGCCTCGGCCTCCCATAGTGCTGGAATTATAGGTGTGAGCCACCGCACCTGGACCAGATTTTATACTAATTTAGTCACACTCTTTGCCTCAAATAACTTAGACTTTATTGTTTGTTAATTACACCCCTTTGGTGTAATGGTAATGCTTTATGGTTTCTGATAATACCTGAAGGTTTTCTTCTGTTGTTACCCAGTGGCCTCCAACACCAAGAAGTGTGATGATATCATGTTTATGTGGTAGTAGTTGTAGTTTTACAGCTGGTTCATCATCTTTACTATACAATCTCACTTGCAAGGGAATAGTTTAAAAAAAAAAAAACCAGAGAGAGAGAAGAAATATATTTTATAAAAATCTGACAAAAATTTATTCTTCAAACAAGTTCTTATTTATTTAGAGACAAAGTCTTACTATGTTGCCCAGGCTGGCCTGGACTCCAGCAATCCTCCAGCCTCAGCCTCATGAGTAGTTGGGACCACAGGCGCAGACCACTGTGTCCGGCACTCTCTTTACTTTTTAATGTACGAATGAGGAAACATTTTTCTTAGAAAAAGCCACACACAATGTATTCTGACACCATAAAATCTACCTTTTGCATTAAACTGATCATAAAATTTATTCTACATTTAATTACAATTTATTGTAAATCTATTTATTATAGAAATAAATAAAGATAAAAAGTCTATCTTCATTTGAAAACCAGGCAAGGTAATGTAACACATAACCAAATCTGATAATTAACACTGATAGCTTAATATAGTGAGATGAGTTGATTCCCAGTTAAAAAACTCAGACTCAGGATAGTCTTAACATAATTACTGAAATGTCCATGTGAAAAAATGATGCAATAAAGTATGTATTTACTTCCACTGACAGATTATCCTGAGCTATTTTCAAATCTTAGAAAATACTGGTTTAAAAAACCACACGATAGTCATAACCATATTCATCCATGATTCTCAAATTAGAAGATAAATTCTACCAAAGTATAAACAGAAGCACTTTGCAGGCCTGTAAAACCTACCCTTTAGGAGTCATGCTATTACTTAAGTGTGTTCAGAGTAAGTGTTAAAAAAATACTGGTTAAACTAAAAACATTCAAGAAAGTGAAACTGGAACAAACTTTGGCATTTTCCAAATAGAGACTGCAGACACCAACTATCCAATAGAAGGCAGCCTCACACAGCAGATGGGACTGAAAAGGCATCGCAATGATGCTGTGTTATCTGGGAACTACCGAGGAGGCCATGTTTCTAGATTTCTTGTAGCAATATGTCATTTGTTACTCTAATGTCTACACCAAGCTCGTCCAACCTGCAGCCTGCCCAGGATGGCTTTAAATGCGGCCCACACAAATTCGTAACTTTCTTAAAACATTGTAAGACATTTTTGAGATTTTTTTTTTTTTTTTAGCTCATCAGATATCATTAGTGTTAATGTATTTTATGTGTGGCCTAAGACAATTCTTCTTCCAACGTGGCCAGGGAAGCGACACCCCTAGTCTACACTGTAAAAGATAAGCATGTTCTCTCTTACATACAGTACTTACAATGAGAATAAAGTAGAAGTTCCAATTTAAATTAAAAAGTCTTTAGTTAAAAACAAAACCCAAAACTCAACATCCAGTTTAATAAGTGCATTAATAATTATGCCCTAAATTTTTTTCTTAAATTCATCAAACCAAAAAAACTACACAGGCTACTAATTTCGTAAGGTACCTACCTCCAGCATCTAGGACAATATCTACTCCCAGGCCACCTGTTTCTTCCAAACAGCTTTCAGCAACATGAACTTTCCCATTAGATACATCAATCACTCGGGCTGTAAAGGACAGGAAATCAGGCAATTGTACTGTTCTGTATGTGATCAACACAAACAAATCAGGGAAAAAGAAAAAGAAAAGCAAATAAATATCTATTCTTTGAAATGAGTTAAGCAATTCAAACAATTACTGAATTTAAAGGGAGAAAGTCAATTTAAATTATACTTTTTCTCATCTAACCCAATATGGGATATAGCAGTCTAAACGAAGAGACCTATATATTTAATAAAATTAAAATGTGAACATTTTGAGGAGAAGGTGATCCAAGGCTGGTCTGTTGACACAGAGCACTATTTTCTACAGCTATAGGGTATGTTGCCAGAATTAAGAATCTGAAAACACAGAGGTACATATATAATAAGACATGAACTGGAAGATTAAGTCAGTTTCTTTTTTTTTTTTTTTCTTCCAGATAGGGTCTCACTCCATTGCCTAGGATAGAGTGCAGTGGCGTGATCACAGCCCACTGTAGCCTTCAACTCCTGGGTTCAAGCAATCCTCCTGCCCTAGCCTCCCAAGAAGCTAGGACTACAGGTACATGCCACCATGCCTGGCTAATTTTTTTAAATTTTTTTGTGGGGACAGGGTCTTGCTATGTTGCCTAAGCTATTTTTGAACTCTTGGCCTCATGTGATCCTCCTGTCTTGGCCTCCTAAATCCCTGGGATTATAGGTGTGAGCCACCACCCCCAGCTAGATTAAGTAGGTTCTCAAGTATGTTCATATTTAATAGTCTTTAGAGCTAAAAAGCATCAAAATATACAGATGATGCTCATCTTTACGATGGGCTACATCTCAATATACCCACTGTAAGTCAAAAATGCACTTAATATCCAATAAACCCATCGTAACATTTTGAAAATCCTAAAACAAAACACTGTCAGCTGGGAACAGTCTGTATTTGTATAATAAGGTAATTATCTGCTAGAGGCTGTTTCACCGTTTCTCAGTCATAGAAATCCCCCTCTCTTCCCCACTTACTCTCCCAAATGAAGAAAAATCTTAAAGCTAAGGAAAAGGAACATGATTTTTAGAAGAGTCAGTACAATTAAATAGATTTTAACTGGCTGCATTAAAGGATATTAGTAGTATCATATTAATAGAATATAAATTATTGACAGAATTAAAAATAATTCTCAGAATTTTGAACTGGCAAATAACAACATGTTTGTATTTCCTTTCTGTATCTTTTAAGACCTTCCAGTTGAAAAGAATTCCTCTTAGAGCTGCCCAGATTAGTGGTGTAGTCCAACAGAGTAATCTAGGATTTGGAGGGAAGGAGGAAGAGGACAAAAGGGAAAGGGGACAAAGTAATCTAGGAAAGGCAAATTAACAAATAAGAAATTTTCCCTTCATTCATGTTCTTTTTATTCACACCATTCATGCTTTTTTTTTTTTTTTGAGATGGAGTCTCGCTGTGTCACCCAGGCTGGAGTGCAGTGGCATGATCTCGGCTCACTGCAAGCTCCGCCTCCTAGATTCATGCCATTATCCTCCCTCAGCCTCCCGAGTAGCTGGGACTACAGGTGCCCGCCACCACACTAGTTCATTTTTTTTTGTATTTTTAGTAGAGATGGGTTTCACCATGTTAGCCAGGATGGTCTCGATCTCCTGACCTTGTGATCTGCCCGCCTCGGCCTCCCAAAGTGCTGGGATTACAGGTGTAAGCCACTGTGCCCGGACCATTCATGCTCTTTTTTTTTTTTCTTTTGAGGCGGTCTCTCACTCTGTTGCCCAGACTGGAGTGCAATGACATGATCTCGACTCACTGCAACCTCCACCTCCCGGATTCTACCAATTCTCCTGCCTCAGCCTCCTGAGTAGCTGGGATTACAGGCATCTGCTACCACGCCCAGCTAATTTTTGTATTTTTAATAGAGATGGGGTTTCATCATGTTGGCCAGGCTGGTCTTGAACTCCTGACCTCAAGTGATCCACCTGCCTCAGCTCCCAAAGTGCTGGGATTACAGGTGTGAGTCACCACGCCCAGCCTATGCTCTCTTTCTCCATTCTATTTTCAAATCTCTTCTTTTTCCTTTTCTCTTCCTTTCTTCAGCCCCTGTATTGCCTTCCTTCTATTTCTTGGTTATCTCTGTCACAAGCATAATGTAACAATGGAAATTAATGTGAGCTTTACTGTCAGGCCTGGGTTCAAATCTCATTCCAGTCCTTTACTAGGTGTATATCCTTGGAGAAGCTAGTTCTCTGAGGCTCGTCTCTAGTTCTTCCGCACCCAGCCTGCATCAGGTGTTTCTAAACTGCATCAAAGTTCACCTAATTCAAAGTTGAGTAAATTGTTGAAAACAATGGGGCAAAGAGGAAAAAACTGAAAAATGTAAGTTTACAAAAAACATAAGTAATTAAAATTAAAACTATCACTTAAGTAAATTGGGGCTGGATATGGTGGCTCATGCCTGTAATTCCAGCACTTTGGGAGGCCAAGGTGGGTACATTGCTTGAGCTCAGAAGTTTGATACCAGCCTAGGCAACATGGCTAAACCCATCTCTACAAAAAATACAAAAAATTAGCCGGGTGTGATGGCATATGCCTGCAGTCCCAGCTACTCAGGTGGCTGAGGTGGGAGGATCACCTGTCCCTGGGGAGGTCCATACTGCAGTGAGCCATGATTGTGCCATTGTACTCCAGCTGGGTGACAGAGTGAGACCCTGTCTCAAAAAAAAAAAAAAAAAAAAAGTAAATTGGGAGATAGCATATACACTGCATTTTCAAACTGACTTTCGTTTGGGATTTTATAAGTTCTTTTTTTTTTTAAGATTATATATAGATGAGGTCTTCTATGTTGCTCAGGCTGATCTCAAACTCCTGGGCTCAAGTGATCCTCCCACCCTGGCCTCCCAAGGTGCTGGGGTTACAGTCGTGGGCCACTGCACCTGGCCAGGGATTTTGTACTTGGTTTTACAAGTACATTTTTAAAGGTGATTTTCCTCCAAAATTCCTTGTTTTAAAGTCTGTGCTTGTAATACTACCCACCTATGGGAGGTCTGAATCTTTCAAGGCACTGCTTATCTTCAAGGCTGCATGCTGTTGAAATCACTTTGGCTCCTCTATGATGTGCTAACTGAATAGCTATTGTACCAAATGCCTGTGTAGAAAAAAAATATACAGTGGGTGTACGGTTATAGGGCAGAGGCCATATCAAATTGATTTCTTTATATTATTTAATAAAGTGTAATTCTTTAGTGTTACTTTAGTATATTTTAAAATGTTATCTAATAGGAAAAGAGCAAAGTTATGGGCAATTTTAATAGTGGAAATATTTGATTGACTTTCTTCTTTACAAGGGGTGGTGGAAAAGCTGCATGCCACAAGCTGTCACTCGGTCTGACCACAGCACATAATTTCAGGGATGGAGGGTCACATTCAGACACATGGCCTTGCAAAGAGAAAACTGGGCCTTGTCAGTGTGATGGTCTAAGCTAATTATATACTATATATGGGAGTCCAGCTACCTCTCTTTGAAGATCAAAACACTTCAAAAGCTCCATCCTGTTCAGACCCATGGGGTAAGTTCGGGGAAACACTACTATCCTGATGTTGGACATCAGGCTGAAGCCAATGCTGAAGACAGCTCTGCCTTTTCTTCAAAGAAAAGCAGGAAGAAAGCATTTCATCACAAGCCAGTTAGAAAAGAGAACTATAAGTTAATTTCAAGTTTTTCTTGACATTTTTAGATGACAGTATTTTATGTATTGTTTTAGTGTCTTGCACTATGTTTTGGTACATGTAATATGTTTAAATTAGGACGTGCTGATCTTTTGTGTGATCCATCTATATATAAAATGCCAATACTTGGTCAACATAAGTGTGAGGGTGGAAAATAGGCTACAAAGCTGGTAGGGAGTTCTGGACTATGACTTCAAGGGCTCATGCGGTATCTTAGGCTTTGTCTAACAAGAGTGAATAAAAATGGCTTGTCTGCTTTTTAATGTACCAGCAGATTCAAAGTCATAAACTAATCACACTAAATCTAACTTTGATCTTCTATTGATAAAAGCTGCTTATTATAACAAAATAGGACACTGGAAAAAAAGTCAATCAATAACCTATTGGCAAAGAATTATATTAGCAAACGGATGGCTCATTGCTAAATTTCCTAAGTTTACTATATGCTGCTCTGTTTCTTAACAAAACCATTAGCACCTACACTTGCTCCATCCATTATCAGCACTGATTTTCCAGGAGAGACATGAGAAAGATAATGCAGAGCTGTATAGGCGCGCACTCCATCCCGAATGCTTCCTGCTGCTTCCATCCATGTGACCTTTTCTGGTTTATGAACTATCATAAAGAACAGGAAGAAACAATCTGTTAGCAAGTCCCATGAGTCCTACCTCCTGGATCTATTTCTCTCCATCTCTACTACTACCATGGCCCTGGTCCAAGCCCCCACTCCCATTCTCTCTCACCTACATTACTTTCCATTATTGCCCATGAACAATTCTCCACATAGGAGTCAGTGTGTGTGTATTTTTAAAATGTTTTATATTGTGAAATAAAACACATGCAGAAAAAGTATGTAAAATATAAAATACAGTTGGATGAATAAATATAAAGGAAATATGCAAAGTTAACTACCATCCTGGTGGCGAAAGACCACAGCCATCACCCCAGCAGCCTCTTCTCTCCTCATCAGAGGTCACCACCATTCTCATACAATTTCTCATTTGTATCACTCAAGTACGCATTTCTAAACAATACAATTTCGTGGCTGGGCGCAGGGGCTCATGCCTGTAATCCCAGCACTTTGGGAGGCCAAGGCCGGTGGATCACGAGGTCAGGAGATCAAGAGCATCCTGGCTGACACGGTGAAACCCTGTCTCTACTAAAAATACAAAAAATTAGCCAGGTGTGGTGGCAGGCACCTGTGGTCCCAGGTACTTGGGAGGTTGAGGCAGGAGAATGGCATGAACCTGGGAGGTGGAAGTTGCAGTGAGCTAAGATCGTGCCACTGCACTCCAGCCTGGGCAATGTTAGACTCCGTCTCAAAAACAAAAAACAAAAAACAATTTTGTATTGCCAAGGCTTTAAACTTTATCTGAACGGAATCATACCATATGCATTCTTTTCTACCTCGCTTTTTATGCTCTACATTACGTTTTTAAAGCATCCTTTCTGTGGATGAGGCTGTTAGATCACTTTCACTCTTGTTGTTTTATAGCATTCCAATATATTAAAATCACCTTCATTTGCTTATCCATTGTTTAGCTGATGAACATTTGTGTTGTCTCCAGTTTTTGTCAGTTACAAACAATGCTGCTAAGTGTGTTCGTATATGAAAGATATTGTTACACTGTGCATGGTTTTTCCTAGGACATTTAAATCGGAGTGGAAATCCCAGGTCCCAGGGTATATTACCTGTTCCTTAACTACACCTTTCCAAAGTGACTGCATCAATTTACTTTCCCACAGGACTGTCCTGTTGCTGCAAATGTCCTTGTCAACTTGTGGAATGATCACATTTATACATTTTTACCAATTATGAAGGTAGGTAATAGTTTCTTACTATGATTTTAATTTGTTTTCCCTGACTACTGAAAGAGGTTGAGCATCTTTCCATGTTTATTGCCCATTTGGAATTCCTTCTGTGAATTCCTTTTTCAAGTGTTTATCAATGTTTCTATTGTTTTGTCTTTTTCTTATTTAGAGCTTTACAGGAATTCTTTATATATTGTAGATAAGTCGTTTATGTGCTATAAATATTATTTTCAACTTTGTGTCTTCTGTTTTCAATCTCTTTAACAGTATCTTTAAAAAATAGAAGCACCAGAATGGTATTTTAAAAAGATAAATGATATCCTAACAATTCTCTGCTTAAAATTTATCAATGGCTTTCCACTGCACTTGGAACCAAATGCAACTCCTAATATAGTTTAAAAAGCTCCACATGATCTGACTGTTAAACTATTCCTTAACATGTTTCGCTATTTTTGTTTTGTGTTTATGCTGTACACTGATGTGATTTTTCCTTTCGCTATTTTTGTTTTGTGTTTATGCTGTACACTGATGTGATTTTTCCACAATACAAGGAATTCTTTTTTTTTTTTTTTTTTGATACAGAGTCTCACTGAGTCTAGCTCTTTTGCCCAGGCTGCAGTGCAGTGGTGCAATCTTGGCTCACTGCAACCTCCCCCTCCTGGGTTGAAGCAATTCTCCTGCCTCAGCCTCCCAAGTAGCTGGGATTACAGGTGTGTGCCACCATGCCTGGCTAATTTTTGTATTTTTTTAGTAGAGACGGGGTTTCACCATGTTGGCCAAGCTGGTCTCAAACTCCTGACCTCAGGTGATCTGCCTACCTTGGCCTCCCAAAGTGCTGGGATTACAGGTGTGAGCCACCGCGCCTGGCCAAGAAATTCTTTCTTGTTTTACCTAAGATCAACTTTATAACACTTTCACAGTCTTTACCAGCTCTTTCAAATGTTTCCTCTAATATCAATGATTCCCGTGGACTAGGCAGAGTAGTCAGCACTGCATTTAGCAACTAGTGCCATCTAGTGGGGGAAGTGGAGCATTCAAACATGCATGTTGAAATGCTCAGACAAGAGCCGAGAATTAAAACAGTAAAAACATATTAAGCACCAGGTGATAGCACACACAGTACTTTATTCCTTAGGTAACTCTTTAAGACAGCTATTCTCCCAATTTTACAGATTATGAAATAGGGTTCAGGGTAATTGATTAATTTGTCTAATGCCACATAGCTCATAAGGTGAATATATGACTTTAAAGCACATCTATTTCAACAGTGCATGCTCAGTCAACATATAATTTACTTACTGGGAATATCTTCTATCAAAAGGATTGGAACTATCATATTTTTATTAAAAACTCAATCATGTTGTCCTTAAAGAAATGCTAACTGCGGCCAGGCGCGGTGGCTCACACCTCTAATCCCAGCACTTTGGGAGGCCAAGGCTGGCGGATCACCTGAGGTTAGGAGTTTGAGACCAGCCTGGCCAACATGGTGAAACCCCGTCTCTACTAAAAATACAAAAATTAGCCAGGCGTGGTGGCAGGCGCCTGTAATTCCAGCTACTTGGGAGGCTGAGGCAGGAGAATCGCTTGAACCCTGAAGGTGGAGGTTGCAGTGAGCCGAGATTGTGTCACTGCACTCCAGACTAGGTGACAGGGCAAGACTTTGTCTCGGGAAAAAAAAAAAATTACTACCTGCAATAAAATTATATTTAAAATTTCAACAGTTCTAAAATTGCATGGTTAGATGTGGGTTAATATCAACACACTTGCTTTTGTGTTGGGGGTCCACAGGTGTTTATTATGTTATAAAAACTAAACAAATAAGGCCAGGTGCAGTGGCTCACACCTGTACTCCCAGCACTTTGGGAGGCCAAGGGGGGCACAGCACCTGAGGTTGGGAGTTCGAGACAAGCCTGACCAACATGGAGCAACCCCGTCTCTACTAACAATAAACAAATTAGCCAGTCATGGTGGCGCATGCCTATAATCCCAGCTACTTGGGAGGCTAAGGCAGGAGAATTGCTTGAACCCGGGAGGCAGAGGTTGCAGTAAGCCGAGATCACGCCATTGCACTCCAGCCTGGGCAACAAGAATGCAACTCTGTCTCAAAAAACCAAAAACCAAAAACCAAAAAAAAAATTAAACAAATAAATGAGAGCCATATTTCAGCATCCAAGAATTATAATTTGATTTCTTTCTAGTTTCGGTCCAAAGGAATAAAAACAACAATGCTGAAAATATGTGCAAAATTTTGAATGAAAAATAAAATTAGTTTTAGGCTTGACAGAATTGCTGAAGAACTGAAAAGTACAAAAGAGCTGGAAGAATTACTCTACTCTTTAACTCTATTATCATGTTTGAGAAACAGGACTAACATCACGTTTTGGGGGAATGTTTGAAACATAGCTCTTTGGTTTGGTAAAGAACAGACTTACTTGAGTTGAAAGTGACTGAGCACTGAGCACTCATTAAACAATCATGAAGGCCAGGCACAGTGGCTCATACCTGTAATGCCAGCACTTTGGGAGGCCAACGCGGGAAGATCACCTGAGCTCAGGAGTTAGAGACCAGCCTGGGCAACATGGCGCGACCAGTTTCTGCAAAAAAAAAGTTAGCCAGGCATGGTGGTGCATGCCTATTGTCCTAGCTACTTGGGAGGCTGAGGTGGGAGGATTGCTTGAGCCCAGGAGTATGAGGCTGCAGCAAACTGTGATCATTCCACTGCACTGCAGCCTGGGCTACAGAGGGAGACCCTGTCTCAAAAATAAACAAATAAACCAAAAACAAAACACCAAAGACAAATTAAAAAAAAAAAACAAATTATATACAGAAAAATCACCACGCAAGTAATAGAAACTAAAATAGAGTTGTAGTGAACTGAAAATTTCCCCCTACAAACTTGCTGGGAAACTGAAATTATTCCCTTTTATAAAAGGTTGGAGCTACAACAGAGATTAGAGGTTATTTAGCTGAGTGTCCTCATTTATAGACGCAGTCAGCGTGCCTAGGATCTAGCCTAAAGGTCACACTGTTAGTCATCTTTTTTTTTTTTTTTACATTGTAAATTGACAAATTATAATTGTATAAATTTATAGGGCACAAAGTGATGCTATGATTTATGAATACAATGTGGAATAATCAAATCAAGCAAGTTAACATAGCCATCATCTCAAATACTTAACATATTTTATGATGAAGACATTTGAAATTTACTCTCAGCAATTTTAAAATGTACAATACTCTATTATTAACTATACTCACCATGCTGTGCAAAGAACTGAAAATAAAAACATACCCCTTGGCCAGGCGCGGTGGCTCACGCCTGTAATCCCAGCAGTTTGGGAGGCCGAGGTGGGTGGATCACCTGAGGTCAGGAGTTCGAGTCTGGCCTGGCCAACATGGAGAAACCCCGGCTTTACTAAAAATACAAAAAATTAGCTGGGCGTGGTGACGGGCGCCTGTAGTCCCAGCTACTCAGGAAGCTGCGGCAGGAGAAATGGTTGAACCTGGGAAGCGGAGGTTGTAGTGAGCCGAGATGGCGCCACTGCACTCCAGCCTGGGCAATAAGAGCAGAATTCTGTCTCAAAAATAAATAAATAAATAAATAAATAAATAAATAAATAAATAAATAAATAAATACATATCCCTCCTGTTTAGCTGAGATTTTATACGCTTTGTCCACCAACACTCCATTCTCCCCAGCCCGCAGCCTCTGTAGCCACCATTCTACTCTCTGCCTCTATGAGTTTGTTTTAGATTCCACACAGAAGTAAGAACATTCTGTATCTGTCTTTCTGTGCCTGGCT